GCTGGGCGGCTAAGCAGAAAGGAAAGAGAGGCGCTGGAAGGGAGGAAGCTCGCTGGCCCCAGGGCAGGAAAAGAGAAGAGAAAGCTACACGGGGAGGGAAGACAGCCTCGAATGGGGTGGGGTGGGGGCATTGGCAACCGCCCCCAAAGCGACATGTCACTCTCCGATGACCCAGGAACGAATCGTGGCCTCGCTGATTCCCCACAGCCTGGCCAAACTCTTTCCTTTCCTTTCCTGTTCTTCTGGGGGGAAAGCAGGGGGCAGGGAGGGTGTCAAGCCATGAGGGCAAATGACGTTGCCAGGACAGAGAGCTGCAAACAGATCCCCGGGGGGGGGGGGATCAGGACAGAACCGGATCAGGACATGGCCAGATCCCTGCCCTGGCTCGGCCCTCCACCAATCCCACTTCAGCCCATGCCGTGCCGAAATACCAGGGACAAAATTCCAGGACAGGAAAGGATGGCAGCAAACACCACAGGCTGTGAAGACACACAGCCCCCCCCTCCAAAAAAATCCCATCTCAGAGGAAAAGCAGACTCCCTTCTCTGCCCTGCCGAAGGTCTGCGGCTCCAGAAAAGCCTGCTGCCTGTTCTGAATCTCGCCTAAGCCCACTCTGGGCCAAAAGACCAAAGGGGCTGGAGTGTGTGTGTGTGTGTGGGGGGGAAGCAAGACAGCTGAGGCTATCTTCCGCAATGAGGCATCTGGGGGAAAGCCAGCCTAGCTGACCCCCCCCCCCTCGTCCTCTGAGACGGTGAGGTAAAGGAACAGGGTGAAGGACTGGCCGAGGCAGCCACGGGGCCGGGGTCAGACCTAGAACCAGGCAGGTCTGCCCCTTCTGAACGACAACAGCCAGCATTCTGGACACCCTGGAGTCCAACCCCCCCCCCATCTCCATGGTCTTTGACTGAGGCTCTGCAAGCCGCCAGGTCCCTCTTCAAAAGTGGGAGCCGCCGAGCGTGAGGCTGAGCCACAGGGCTTCCAAACAAGAGATGAAGAGAATCTGGTGGTGGTGGTGGTGGGGGGAAGCAGACGCTGGCATCATGGCAGAATCAGAGCAGGACAGGAGAGAAGGGCCCACAAGGTCTCAGGGGGCCGAGGCTGAACAGAATCCACAGCCTTCGCTCGGCTGGATGGAAGGAAAGCCCTTGGAGGTCGTAAGTGGGGATCCCCCAATCCTGCCGTGAACAGAGCTAAGGAAAGGCAATCCCTAGTCACCAAAGCCTCTCTTTACACCCTCCCTTCGTTTTCTCGCCGACGGAGGGAATTTGCTGCTGTTTTCCTAACAGCTTCATGTTGCTCCCCCATAGGTGCAGAATGCTTATCCAAAGCAAATCCAGGTGATTTAAGGATAAGACCGGCTCAGAGCAAGAAGGCAGCAGGTGCCACCAAAGGCGCCCCTCGGGAGCCCTCAGGAAGCCTCGGAGCACAATCGATTCTCCCAGGGAGATTAAGCAGAGACCAGAGACCAGCACCAAGCAGCTGGGCAGAAGCCGGCTTTTCATTCGCAGTCTGTGCCCCGACACCTCAGGGAAAAGGAACCGCAGGAGGCCGAGTCTGCTCTCCCCCCATCAGCTTCGGCGGAAGGAGGACCGTGTGCGATGGCAATGGCACCGCCCTCTGAGCCCGCCCCGTTCTGCACCTCTTTGCCTCCTCGCTCCCTGTAAAACGACCAAAAGGCACCACCAAATGGTCGTCTGCGTGAATGCCGTCTGGCACAAAGCACACGGGGAAATCCAGTTCTGGAACCGGGCAGTCCTTCAATGTTTTCAGCTATGCTCCACAGAGCAGCGTAAAGATTTGGATTTAAGTTAAAAATCTCTTCCTGAGCCACCTCCAACTGTTAGGTGTCATTTCCTGATCTATGACATCCACTCCACCTGCCTGGCAACCGACGGCACACAAAAGCACTAAGAGCGGCCAAACCCAATAAAAGCAAGCACAGTTGAAATGTTTCAAAAATCCAATGAAAAGGCATCCATTTAAAAAAATAGCAAAAAAAAAAAATCCCTCAGGTACCCAAAGCTGCTGGACTGAAAGGTATTCCACCGGACAGCAGCGAGAACAGAGAACCCACTCATGTCCCCATAGAACAGGCACCCAAGGGTGGGTGGGAGGTGCTGAGACCTCTAAGGGGGTAAAACCAGGGCGGGCACCTCAAGATCCACTGTCTTCTCGAATGCCTTTGGGCCAGGGGAGGAGGAAGAAGGGATTCGAGCCTCTGACCTCGAGATGACTCTTTGGTAGGCTGTCCACTCACAGGACAAAGTTCCTGCTGCCAACCCCCCCCTTCCCCGCCTGCTCTGAGCTTGACCCGAGCGGAAGGCCTGTTGGCCTTGGCCCCTTGTAAGGCACCCCCTTCCCCAACATCCTCTCCCCTGGGTTCATCTAGCCCTGCCTCACCCCGGCACACAAATCCACACCTAAAAGCTGAAAGCCAGCCCTTCCCTGCGGCCCTCGGGAGCAGGGAGGGGCAGATACTTTGGGGATTTCATCCTGCACAAGACAAGACGGTCCCCTGTAAGATTAGGGTCATTCTTGTCACTCTCGAATTGGCCTCCTCAGCCACACGAGATGCTTTTCCACGTCCTCTATTCAGAGCATGTTCCCATCATCTCTCGAGACTGAAGGATCCCTAATCTAAAATCTAATTCTTGGCACCTTCCCCGAGAAGAACTAAGGAACCAACCCCCGTCTCTTTCTCTAAATGGTGTCTTTCAATGTTAGAAGCTGCCTTAGGTTCTTTTCAAAGAGAAAGATGGGGTAAAAATATTTTAAACAAATAAATAATAGATCCAAAATAATCTGAGCCGACCTAAGCCCGGGAGTGCCATTAGGGAGGTCATTCATCAGCATTAGTAAAATTAGTAGAAGTGTGGGAAGCCCAAAGCCTCGCGGCCCCCATGGGTTGAGAGGCTTGTGTTTCTCCTTGAAAGCAGGACTCCGGAGAGCCTCAGCGGTGGGCGGGGGCTTCGCAGAGCGGCCAGCCAACCTCCCGCCTCTCCCTGTCCATGAGCAGCAGGGGGGTCGGGGTGAGAGAAGGAAGGGGGCGAGGTGGGTACTGTACCTGATGATGGGCTGGTCGAGGCCCCGCGGCAAACTGAGGAGAAGCGGGAGAAACAAAGACACAAAAAGGAAAGGCACAGAGAGTCAGAAACACCACAACAGAAGGCAAAAATGTCACACTGTATGCAAAATGAAAAAACCCACAAGAAAAAAAACAGCGGAACAGCTAACGCGGTGGAAGCTCTGCTGCAAGAGAGTGTCAGGCAACCCTCCCCCCGCCCCCCCCGGGGTCAATCCTGCTCCCCAGAGAGTCTCCTGGCCAAGAGCCACGGGGGAGACCCCACGCAGGGGAGGGGCCCGCCAGAAGCCTTGCGACTGGGATCCGGACAAGCAGGAGCAGGCCTCTCCTCGCCCTGCCCGGAAGGGAGGGTAGGGGTGTGGCTCTGTGTGTGTGTGTGTGGGGGGGACGGCCACCCCCCTCCCCCAGGTAGCATGGCTGCACCTCGGGAGCAAAGCAGCAAGACCCAGGACGGCTGCTCCCTGTCTGGGCCACTCTTGGGTTTCTAAACCTTCAGAGTGTGGCTGGGACGCCTGCCTCCGAGCGCCTGGGGCAGGGGCCTGCTTTGCAAGGGGGGTGGGGTGGGGTGGGAAGGAGCCCAACAGCTCAAGAGAGCTGCAGACCCCGGTCGCTCCCTCTTCTCTTCCCAAGACAGGCAAGGAAAAAAAAGGGGCAAGACACACATGGATTATTTTCTGAGCGTTGGCCAAAGAACAGCAAAAAGGAAAATTGCTATGAGCAAGAAAGCGATGGAGAAGCCTGGAAATGCGTTTACAAGGAGGAATACACAGACGGGGTTCAGCAGGCCTCCAGGGAACCGGCAGGGCCTCCCCGCGGACTGCTACCTTCTCCTGGAAGGGCCTGGAGGGAGCGGGTGGTGCGCCAGCGGACGTGCAGGTGGCCGTGCTTCTAAGCACCCAAGGGCATTCTTCGGTGGTACTTACACAACATGTGCGGTCCAGCTCCCAGATTCAGACTCAGCAGGGAGGGAGGAAGGGAGGGAGGGAGGGGCAGCCCCTCTCTTTCCCGCTTGCCTCCACACCCACCAAACAGGCCATTTGGGCGGGAAGGCCTCTCCTCTCTCCTCTCTCCACAGGCAGACTAGGAAGGGATCTCCTCTGGGCCAAACCTCGACATCCCACACTTTGGGGGATCAGAGCAAAGGGCCTGCACTGTCCCGCACAGCTCCACACAGCCTTTCTGTCTCGTTTTCTCAGCCCTGAGATCCCGCTGACCCTCCAGCTGGCAGAGGGGCATATGGATTCAGAGCGAGGAGCCGGCTGCTGCTGACCAGGTTTAATTTAGCACGGAAATTAAGAGTTCTGCATTTCTCTCCCACTTCTGCCAAGGGGGGTGGTGGGAGGAAAGACGCATACCTGACCTGAGGAAGGGGGCAGGCAGGCACAAGTGGCCGGAGCGAAGGGCAAAAAAACCCCACTCAGCTCATGACCCAAGATGGGACAGAAAAAGCCACTCAGAGAGGAGATAAACGGCATCCGTCTGCCCAAGACCAAAAGGAGGACCTGTCTGACCACTGTTCCAGAGAAAGTCTCACGGCTACCAGCTCAGAAAAGGAGGAAACAAACCCTGTCGGCTCCTTCTCCCCTCCCCATATCCTGCCATCCAAACATTAGGGGAAAACCAAAAGCTTATGAAGTAAATCCCAAGTTTTATTTTTAAAAAGCAAAGCTTCAGTATTCGTTTGAAGACCTACATTCTGCCCCCATCACGACTGGCGCTCTAATTCCTGCTGACAATTCTCTCTCTCCCCCATTGATGACTGTAAGCAACAGAACAAACTGTAGTCACGCCTGGCTCAGATTAAAAACAAAGGTGGTGGTTTTATTGGGGGGGGGCTTTTAAAGAGTTTATTGGAAGAGAGCCAGGAGTTCCCATTCTTGTCCATGAGATGCTGGCCTCGATTCCAAACCCATCTGCGCAGAGGTGCCCCGGTGGGTTTGCAGCCGATGAGTCGGGGCTCGAAGGACAGGCATGCGTGCCCTCGCCATTTAAAAGGAAGACCCCAGCTGTCCCCCTTCCCAAGCTGCTTTTTAAGAGGGGGAGGGGGAGAAAAAAAAACCCACCACCGGGATTCAGAATTGAAGGGGGGGGAAACAAAGGGACTCCAAAGGGCACTCCATTCTTTCCTCTGACAGGAAGCAGCCGGCACCGTTTGTGCGACTGACTCTTGCATGTTCTTCTTTTTAAGAAAACTGACAGGGAGTTTGTTGAAGTCGGAGGAGGGAATCCAGCCTGAGGCTGTGCGCTTCCCCCCCCCCCC